ATAAGTCCAAGTTAATAGACATAATACGGGAGCTGTGTCATGTGACTTGGTCTGTCCTTGAGAACCAATACAACACCCCTATTTTTTCGATACAAATCATTTTCATTGGCTAATATTGATGAGCACATAAATCTCCCGTCATTTTTAACTCCAAGTCAATAGACATAATTCATGCGCTGTTTCTTGTCTGAGGGCCAATGTCATGTGACTCGGTCTGTCTTTGATAAAAAATACAACACCATGATTTTTTATTTAAAAATCACTGTTGTTGGCTAATATTGATCAGCATATAAATGTACAGTCATTTATAAGTCCAAGTCAATAGACATAATGCATGCGCTGTGTCTAGTCTGTGAGCCTAAGTCATATGACTCGGTCTGTCTTTGATAAAAAATACAACACAACTATTTTTCCCGTACAAATCATTTTGGTTGGTTAATATTGATGAGCACATAAATCTCCAGTCATTTATAAGTCCAAGTCAATAGACATACTGCGTGAGCTGAGTCTAGTCTGTGAGCCTAAGTCATGTGACTCGGTCTGTCTTTGATAAAAAATACAACGCAACTATTTTTTCCATACAAATCATTTTCATTGGCTAATATTGATGAGCACATAAATCTCTGGTCATTTATAAGTCCAAGTTAATAGACATAATACGGGAGCTGTGTCATGTGACTTGGTCTGTCCTTGATAAAAAATACAACACCATGATTTTTTATTTAAAAATCACTGTTGTTGGTTAATATTGATGGGCACATAAATCTCCAGTCATTTATAAGTCCAAGTCAATAGACATACTGCGTGAGCTGAGTCTAGTCTGTGAGCCTAAGTCATGTGACTCGGTCTGTCTTTGATAAAAAATACAACGCAACTATTTTTTCCATACAAATCATTTTCATTGGCTAATATTGATGAGCACATAAATCTCTGGTCATTTATAAGTCCAAGTTAATAGACATAATACGGGAGCTGTGTCATGTGACTTGGTCTGTCCTTGATAAAAAATACAACGCAACTATTTTTTCCATACAAATCATTTTCATTGGCTAATATTGATGAGCACATAAATCTCTGGTCATTTATAAGTCCAAGTTAATAGACATAATACGGGAGCTGTGTCATGCGACTTGGTCTGTCCTTGATAAAAAATACAACACCATGATTTTTTATTTAAAAATCACTGTTGGCTAATATTGCTCAGCATATAAATGTACAGTCATTTAAAAGTCCAAGTCAATAGACATAATTCATGCGCTGTATCTAGTCTGTGGGCCTACATCATACGACTCGGTCTATCTTTGATAAAAAATACAACACAACTATTTTTCCCGTACAAATCATTGTGGTTGGTTAATATTGATGAGCACATAAATCTCCAGTCATTGATAAGTCCAAGTCAATAGACATACAGCGTGAGCTGAGTCTGGTCTGTGGGCCTAAGTCATGTGACTCGGTCTGTCGTTGATAAAAAATACAACACAACTATTTTTTCCATAAACATCATTTTTGTTGGTTAATATTGATGGGCACATAAATCTCCAGTCATTTATAAGTCCAAGTCAATAGACATACTGCGTGAGCTGAGTCTAGTCTGTGAGCCTAAGTCCTGTGACTAGGTCTGTCTTTGATAAAAAATACAATACAACTATTTTTGCCATAAAAATCATTTTTGTTAGTTAATATCGATGGGCACATTAATCTCGAGGCATTTATAAATCCGATTCAGT